ATATATATATATATATATATATATATATATATATAAGTAAGAACTGAAGAACTTGTCCATCCGAAAATACAGTATCGCAGAATCTACACAATCTTTTAGAAAAATCGAGTTAGAATCAGATACAAGCGTATCGAAGCCTATATCGACGCTAACAGTACCGGATCCACTTTATAGCTACTAGTGAGAAGATTAGGGGATTGTTGGGTGTTAAGAATAATGAGTGAGCCCTACCGCAGCGCTTATGTCGATGTATTAGTGATAAGAAGGTGATAAGGATTATATTCCCTACAGCGGTAATGTTGTTGAAAGTGAATAGAGAGAAAGGTTCCTCCTCGCGGTCATCTTCGTATAAAAAGATCGGAATTTTCTGACGTTAAAGTCAGACGACACTAAAAACTGGAACGGATATACTTGGAGCTGAAAAGTTAGTTGGGATTTTGAAAAGTTTCGGCAGGTTTTGCAGAAGAAAACAACAAGATCAAGTGCTGAGGGAAAGCGGTTTTCCGGAAAAATAGTTGCACGTGGAATTCCGATAATCGGTTCAAACATTCTGGGATCAGAAAGTTGCACAAAAATGGCTTAACACAGGAATGTTAAGTAAATCGATAAGGTTATCACACAAGGTCGAAGTGGCCTAACGTTACCTAAACTTTATAGGCATGTTTAAAAATCATTGGAAATTACGTCTAACAGTCTGGATTGGGGTAGCCATGCTTTCTAGACAGCTTGAGTCAGCTCGTAAACAACCCGTATGAAGATCGAGTGAAGGTCGGATGAAGGTCGGAGGGTAAAACAGTTCTCTCTGCATGTGTACCACGAGATAAATACCAGTCGAGAAACTTACTCATCAATGTCGAAACATTGAGGCAAAAAAGAAACTAGAAACAAATATCGTTCGCTCGTACGTTTTTACAAATCGCTGACTCGTGTTTTTCCGTTTATCCCTGATAGACGTTAACAACTGCGGCGAACGCACTCAAACCTATATCTATGGCTTCTCCTTTCTTTACCATAAGCCCTCCAGATTTATACTTGCCCTCCCAACTAACCTTCCCTCACCATAACCCCTCCCCCTGCCACAATCCCTCCCCCAATGTACACCTCCCCCAACAAACCTTCCCTCATCCTAACCCCTCCCCCAATGTACACCTTTCCCCCAACAAACCTTCCCTCACCCTAACCCCTCTCCCGCCACAATCCCTCCCCCAATGTACACCTTCTCGCATATCCACCTCCCTCCTTCTTTAACCAACGTACCCCTTTTCTTCTTCCTCCCCTGAAAGTATCACTCACTGAAGTCCGAGCACCGATAGCACCGATTAACATAAGCGCCGATATCCAGTATTTAGTAAAACTTTTAGTATTTATATTTATTTAATATGATTTAACTCTTCTTCTGAATATAGCTCTTCTAATATCACCCATTGAACTCTGCACTGATATCTAGTATTTAATCCTCCTCGTCATAAATAATTCACGCCGTTCTACCACGCGTTCCCTCGCCGACTGTGAGTAGGAGGGACCACCGGAACATGCACCTGTCGTAGTTGTTCAATATCAAAGCCGCACCTGTGCTTTGGTAATTACATATTACACGCCTCGAGGGCGCTCGTGCCGTAACATCCGCGGTTCTAGCGGCGTGCGTGCGTGCGTGCGTGCGTGTGTAGAACGTGAGTGGTTTCCCCCTCTCTGTGACTCACACGCACACGCACGCTCGCTCGCTCGCACGCACGCACGCACGCACGCACGCACGCACGCACGCACGCACGCACGCACGCACACACACACACACACGCACACGCACGCTCGCTCGCTCGCACGCACGCACGCACACACACACACACACACACACACACACACACACACACACACACACACACACACACACACACACACACACACACACGCGCGCGCGCGCGCGCGCACACAGGTGTAGTTGATTGAAGACATGGCGAGCCATAGTGACATTGATTGGTTTCCGTGGTGGAGCGTGATTTTAAGCCATAGTGGAAGTTTTATTGTTGAGAAACCTGGACCCGACAGTGAAATGAAAATCAATGTTGTTGTTGTGCTAGATTCCACACAGCGGGTACACGCCGCGGTGAATTGTCTAGCAGCGATATCTGGATCGATTTCGAGTGGGTTAGGTAGAATCAGCGGTCTGTGATTTTCACACGCTAAATGATATACTTATAAAACGCAAATTTTTGTATGCGAAATTTTCTGTCTGCATTCTGGTATACTGTTTCCATTTGCATCCTATTACATGACTTAGTTTTACATGTAGTGATTCCTTTCGCCGATTATTAACTTGTTTATTTTTACCTGTAAAACATACACGGCCCCGCTTCTAATGTGCGTCAGTTGAGTTAGAGTCAACAAGAGAGCATGCATTATATAACACTGCGCGACAATAGAAAGTTCGTTGTTTCATGTGCACGCGTTTTCACTCTTCCGACCTCTCCAGGCGTATTTCTCGCGTGTTCTCGCGGGACTTACCGAGGTAGCTATCGTCTTCGGTAGCTGGTCCCTCATTGGTCGCCTTCAAGTCCTCATTCTTGTTCAAGTTCTGGGAGTAAACTTGACCTGTGGATGAACACGGTGGAAGCTATAAGTTAGCTCGTTGGAGCGATTGTTCACGCGTTCCCTCACCCTGCCCCCACCCTCCCTCACGCATTCATATATACGTCTTATGAAGCGATATAATAATGTTTGACATATTCTCTTCTTTATTCTCGTTTGACAATTTTATTTGTAGTAGGGTTAATTTCCTCTAATCAGAGGTAGATATTATTAGGACCAAGTAAAAACAAAAAAATGTTTTTTCATTACTTCTGATATTATTTAACTTGATACTAAACCCCAAAATTGACAAGAATTGGCGTTCTAAACAACATGATGTCAAGACAGTGATGCTCATCTCATAGGGGGAAGAAAGTTCATTTTTCAGCCACGCCCTCTGTAAGATACTAGGAGGTACTAACTAGTACACTGAGGTAGGTTTTTCACAAAGCATTTACAATACTCCTCGATGAAATGGCCTTCGTAAAACCCGCGAAGAATTTCAGGCAGCCAAGATTCACCAAATTTTGCAAAAACCAGTAGGATTTTTGGTGTCTCTGTGGGTTATTAATAGTGTTTACGCTGCGGTAGCCGAAAATTCCGCTGCCTTCAAAAAGCGAACGAATTCTGGCAGTTAATTTTCTGCAATTCGAAAATAACGATAATAACGAAAATCTACAACAAAAACCCGTGGGTGTGGTCGGCATGTGGAAAAGAGCGATGTGAAAAGGTATGTGGAAGTCGGAATATTTGGGAACCGTAGGAGATGGAAATTGTGCTTTATAAGAGCATTGGTGTATGTAGAGACGGTAGTTACAGGGTATGTGTATGAGTCCGTGGGAGCATAGTGTTATATAGGGTCCATAGGAGCAAGGTAGGGACCTGGTGTTCAAGTCCGTAAGGTCGCGGTAAGGAGGGGAATACCTTGCCAGTACCAGCTACCGATGGCTCCGACTATGGCTCTCTCATCGTCTGTGATCTGTAGACTGAAGCCAGCCTGACAGAATCCCTGTCTGTGATAACCCCATCTCGCTGCAACAGCAAAACACAGGAGCTGTCATGGCATGCTATAACAACAACAAACAACAACAATAACAACAACAACAATATCAACAACTACTACTACTACTACTACTACTACTACTACTACTACTACTACTACAATAACAAATAACAACAATAACAACAACAACAACAACAACAACAACAACAACAACAATAACAACAATAACGATAACAATAGTAACAACAACAACAATAATAAAACAACAACAACAACAACAACAACAGCAACGACGACGGCACCAACTACGGGCTATGTGTCAATGTACATAAGGGAAGGGAATCTTGATCTTTTTGGTTCTATTAATAGAGAAGAGTAGGGCGTTAGTTCTAATTCGCAGTCACTGTCAGATAGTGTATGTAGCAGTAGTACTCTGCGATATGTACGAGGGAGAAGGGTGGAACGTGCATCTATCGATGATAGGTATTGCTACGCTCACTTGTTAACCGTTTTTTTCTTTGGTTCTCGAGGCGCGAATTTTTACTCGAGGACGGAGTTTTTCGTTTTTCTCGTGATTGATTTTTTGCGTCGTGTTCCAAGAGGAATGTTGTCATTTAGAGAGGTCGCTGGGAATAGAATGTAGAACACCTCACGTGTTGTGTGTGTGTGTGTGTGTGTGTGTGTGTGTGTGTGTGTGTGTGTGTGTGTGTGTGTGTGTGTGTGTGTGCGGCGTGCGTGTGTGTGTGTGTGCGTATGTGTGTGTATGTGTGTGGTGTATGGTGTGTGTGTTCGTGCGTGCGTGCGTGCGTGGCGCGGCGTGCGTGTGTGTGTGATGTGTGTGTGCGTAGCGTGCCGCGGTGCGTTGTGTGGGTGTGTGGTGATGTGTTGTGTGTGTGTGTCGTGGTGTGTGTGTGTGCGCGCGTGTGTGTGTGTGTAAGCATGCGATGGGAGCTGTGATGCTGTGAGCATGGTGAGCTATGAGCTTTAAAACACACGTGGGGCTTTATATCTGATTTACGAACAGAAAATGTAGATGAAATGACCACTTCGTTTTGGCTATAAAGTGATTTCAACCAATTGTAAAACATTTTAAAATAGTACCGTGAAATGACTCGTGATTTTAATCAACTGTAAGACATTAGGAACTGTAGGTGAAATGACCACATCATTGATCTTATTCTGTAATTTTAATCAACTGTAAAGTATTGAAATTAATTACTCGAAATGGCCACGACGTTTGACTATATAGTTTGTGATTTAAATCAACTTTAAACGATCCAAAACTGTTCCGAAAAATTACCACACCGTTTTGGGTGTACAGCCCGTAATTTTAATATATTGTAAAAACATTTACAAACTTTTTGTGTGAAATCACTACATCGTTTAGCTGTACACTCTCAGTGTTTACTCAACTGTAAAATATTGAAAACTATATTTAATAGAGTGTATTGCATTTCTACGCAGCGTCAATGGGCTTATAATTAATTAGATGGGGTTACGATGAGTGCCTTAAATCATTAATTAATTGTTCTAGTACCACAAGAATTGCTCACAACGTATCACACGCACACACACAAACGCGCGCGCGCACGCACGCACGCACGCACGCACGCACGCACGCACACACACTGTAAGTTCTTTTACCTGTTCCGGGATAACCCCTAAACACAACATGAATAAAATATGTCACAAGGTAGCAATGACGCAACATAGAACATAATTAATTACTATATCGATCCATTCGATAAATACTTTCACACAGGTAACACGTACGATACGTTTCAGTAATAATAATAATAATAATAATAATAATAATAATAATAATCGCATGATTGATTCTCTACAGTTAAAAGAAATTACTGGTAATGACACGAGAAACTGAACATCGTGTTAAATCGACGATATATATGTGTGTGAGATAGAGAGAGAAATAAAGAGATAAAGAAAGAGCGACGTGAAACATATTATATAAATAGTACCTTCACCGCGATTTGAAAACAGAGGAGAGAGTATGCGTAACGTGAGAATATACCGCCACACAGAATAGCCGCGTAAATGAAAGTAACGACCCATCCACAGAACTACAACCCAACGCAGAGAAAATGAGACCAAAATACCAAAATGGGTTGTCATAGTGAGAAACGCGTTGCCAATTCAAATGCAAGACCGTTGCTCCGCTATTGAATACTTTAATTACTTGATATTTTAAATGGAATACTGATACAAAAAAGTTTTGTTACTTTTTTACTTTTACTCGGTTTTGATTGACGCATTTTTAGACCTTCTAATTAAACCAACGATTTTATTCCTTATCAAATTGATATTCACACTCAACGTTGATAGTTATAAACAAAAAAATAATGCAATAGATATAATTATATATATTATAATTATACAACTACGAATAGACGTAGCATAAATAACTCAAGCCATTTAATAAAGACAAATAATAACAGCGAAGGAGTGAAAGTAAATATTTTTCCTCGTGATTCCTGAATAAATGAAACTGGCGGAAGCAACGGAAGTGCATTTGTATCGAGCAGCAAGTATCACCGGACGTCTGTTAGCACCGAAATGTCGACGCAGTGAGCAGCGTCACCTAGCGTCGACATTTCTACTTCGAGTCCGACCTTAATTAATATTTAATTAACATATGATTAAGATTTAAATCAAGATTTAACAAGCCCCCAACGAGTTAAAACCGCAACCAGCGAAATAACAGAAAAAAAGCAGAAACAGCAACAACGGTAAAACAAACACACACCACCACCCCCAGAAACAGCGCAACGAAAAACGTGAGAGACTGGAGCGCATGGTTAGAACTGCGCATGCGCGCGCGCGCGTGCGCAGTAGCACTCGTATATCTCCTGTCATACTTACGGAAGGGTTCCGATTGTACGGCTGAAACGAAACAGTCACAAATGCAATAAACAAAAGGCAACCACGTTGGCTGTAATATAAATGTTGGTTTCGTGAGGTAGGGGTAGGCTAAAGGTACAGTAAGTGTGTGACGAGGTAGGGCAAAGGGTTATGGGTGGGTGGGGGTCATCATTCAACAGAGGGCTGCATTCCCACACTGAGCACAACTACTGCGCCCTCTAGCGGCCACCACATCCTCCGCCTTCCTGCGCCCTTGTGTTATCCCAAAATCTAAGAAGGTATCACGTCATCGGTGAATGGGTTACAGGGTGGAAAGAACGCAAGATGGGATGCATGAACGAGCGAAGAAGAGTGGCGAATAGAGGAAAGCATGTTACGATTACAAGTATATTAATGACTGTTACGCTGTAACTTTTAATCGAAACAACGACAACGACAACAATGACGTTAGCTTAGCTACTGTACGATAGACGCAATGATAAAGAGTAAGTTTACGTTCACGTTTTAGTATAGGCACCTACCTATTGTGCATGACAGTGCACGTGAATTAAAAAATTTAAGAAAAGCAGAAAACTATAGTGTTAGTCAATCGCTCGCAAATGTGAACAAGGATAATTATGTTCAAACTCTGGCTCGATCGGTTATACACGAAGACAACATTAGAATTCGAAAGAATCTTTTGCAAAAATATATATATACATATAGATGTAATAATATATATATATTATATAGTATATATACTAAATATATCTATCTATAGTGAACTACTGCTATGGGTGCGAGACTACACTATTTATAGCAGCTAATTTGGTTATGAACCACATTCCCAGGCACAAGTACTAACGTGACAAGCTGAACTATACCATAACACTAACGCTACTGTAATAACTATTGGAAACTATGGTCTATAAACTGAGCCACGGATCGGGGCTCAGAAAATTTTACAGCTAGGCATCGACGTTCACTTGTTTCTACGCATTCGTAGCTATTGGTTACGTAAAGCCTGTTTAGCACAACTGTAAGGTTAAGCATGATTGTAATCTTCATTTTATTGGAATTTATCAGAAAAAAATTACCATGCACATGCGTCCGTTGCAAAACTACTAAAAAAATCGACACCACTTCCTGTCTATGACGTCACTTCCTGGCCCAGAAGACAATAATATTCCCTGCTATTATCCACTTCAAACACTGATCTCCATATATACCAATATATATATATATATATATATATATATATATATATATATATATA